CCGAAATTCCTGTGTGTGTGTGTGTGTGTGTGTGTGTGTGTGTGTGTGTGCGGGGGACGCATGTGGACGGTGGCCGTGGGGCCTTCGGGGGAGCTCCCTATGGGGTCACAAACTGTGTGAATGGTGTGCCGAAATGTGTGCGGGGTGCGCATGTGAACGGTGGTATTGGGGTCTTCGGTGGAACTCCCAATGGTGCCACGAAACGTGTGAGGGGTGCGCCGGAATGGGTGTGGGGGACGCATGTGGACGGTGGCGCGGGGGCCTTTGGTGGAGCTCCTAATGGGGCCACGAAACGTGTGAGGGGTGTGCCGAAATGGGTGCGGGGGACGCGTGTGGACGGTGGCGCTGGGCCTTCGGTGGAGCTCCCTGTGGGGTCACGGGGTGTGCCGACATGGGTGTGGGGGGCGCATGTGGGCGGCAGCACTGGGGCCTTGGGTGGAGCTCCTTATGGAGCCCCGAGGCGCGTGATGGGGTGGGTGAAACGCAGGGAGGAGGGAGGGGGGGGGAGGAGGGAGGAGGAAAGAGAACGCGGGGACCGTTTCTTCAAAACGAGGACCCAACACCACAAGATGGTTGGAAATTGCTGTCCGAACTTGTCCTGGCGAAGGACCCAACCATATGCAGTTGTGAATGCCGCAGTTGTGAGCTTCCTATGGGGCCACGAAGCGCTGCGCTGTGTGGGGGGAAAGGCATGCGGGCGGTAATACTGGGGCCGTCGGTGGAACTCCGCATGGGGCCATGAAGCGCTGGACTGGGTGGGGGGGGACGCATGCGGGCGGTAGCGCTGAGGCCGTCGGTGGAGCTCCCTATGCGACCACGAAGCGCCGTGCTGGGTGTGGGGGGCGCGTGCGGGTGGTAGCACTAGGGATTTCGGTGGAGCTGCCTGTGGGGCCATGCAACGCTGTGCTGGGTTGGGGGGCGCACGCGGGCGGTAGAGCTGGGACCTTCGGTGGAGCTCTCACTGGGGCCACGAAGCGCTGTGCTGGGTGGGGGTGACGCATGCGGACGGTGGCACTGGGGCCGTTTTTTTCCTACCTGTGTGCCAGGCCATGCGTTCCCCCCACTCAATACAGCGTTTCGTGGCCCCGTAGGGAGCTCCACCGAAGGACCCACTGCCACCGTCCACATGCGTCCCCCCCACTCAATACAGCGTTTCGTGGCCCCATAGGGAGCTCCACCGAAGGCCCCAGTGTACAGCGTTTCGTGGCCCCATAGGGAGCTCACCGAAGGCCCCAGTGCCACCGTCCACATGCGTCCCCCCCACTCAGTACAACGTTTCGTGGCCCCATAGGGAGCTCCACCGAAGCCCCAGTGCCACCGTCCACATGCGTCCCCCCCACTCAGTACAGCGTTTCGTGGCCCCATAGGAGGCCCCACCGAAGGTCACAGTGCTACCGTCCACTCCCTATGGGGCCACGAAACGCTGCACTGAGTGGGGGGACGCATGTCGACAGTGGCACTGGGCCTTCGGTGGAGCTCCCTGTGGGGCCACGACGCGCTGTACTGAGTTGGGGGGGCGCATGTGGACGGTGGCATTGGGGCCTTCGGTGGAGCTCCCTATGGGGCCACGAAGCGCTGTACTGAGTGGGGGGGACGCATGTGGACGGTGGCACTGGGGCCTTCGGTGGAGCTCCCTATGGGGCCACGAACGCTGTACTGAGTGGGGGGGCGCATGTGGACGGTGGCACTGGGGCCTTCGGTGGAGCTCCCTATGGGGCCACGAAGCGCTGTACTGAGTGGGGGGGACGCATGTGGACGGTGGCACTGGGGCCTTCGGTGGAGCTCCCTATGGGGCCACGAAGCGCTGTGCTGAGTGGGGGGGACGCATGTGGACGGTGGTACTGAAGCCTTCGGTGGAGTGGCCCCATAGGGAGCTCCACCGAAGGCCCCAGTGCCACCGTCCACATGCGTCCCCCCCACTCAGTACAGTGTTTCGTGGCCCCATAGGAGGCCCCACCGAAGGTCACAGTGCTACCGTCCACATGCGTCCCCCCCACTCGGTACAGCGTTGCGTGGCCACATAGGGAGCTCTACCGAAGCCCCCGGTGGGACCGTCCGAGTGCGTCCTGAAACACCTAATTTGGCTTTTTTTTTACCCACCCAATGCAGCGTTTCGTGGCCCCACAAGGAGCTCCACCCAAGGCCCCAGTGGGACCGTCCGCAAGCGTCCCGAAACACCCATTGTGGCATTTTCGCATACCCAAGTCAAAATTTCGTGGCCCCGTAGGGAGCTCCACCGAAGGCCCCAGTGCCACCGTCCACATGCGTCCCGAAAACCCAACGTGGCATTTTTACCAACCCAACACAGCGTTTCGTGGCCCTTTAGTGAGCTCCACCGAAGCCCCCAGTCCCCAGTGGGACCGTCTGCATGCGTCCCGGAAGCCCAGTTTGGCATTTTCGCCCACCCGATACAGCGTTTCGTGGCTCCATAGGGAGTTCCACGGAAGCCTCCAGTGGGACCGTTCGCATGCGTCCCGGAAGCCCAATTTGGCATTTTCACTTACCCAATACAACGTTTCGTGGCCCCATAGGGAGCTCCACCGAAGCCCCCAGTAGGACCGTCCGCATGCGTCCCAGAAGCCTTACTTGACACACCACTCACCCAGAACAGCGTTCCCCCCCGCCCAGTGCAGCGCCTCGTGGCCCCATAGGGAGTTTCACCGAAGAAGATTTTCACAATTGCACTGCCCACAACTGCATATGGTTGGGTCATTCGCCAGGGTAATTCTAGCTGTGTGCCAGGCTCGCGCGGCGCGGGCTCAGGTTCTAGCAGCCGCATTGCTGGCGGTTGCGAGGTGCTGGCGGCAGGCGAAGCCTGAAAAGCGGGGCGCTGAGCGGCAAAAGAACGAGCGAGCCCAAGGGCCTCCCCACCGCCGCCCAGCCAGGCCCTTATCCAGCGCCTCCCAGGTATGCAGCATCACCAGGGGCGCTCACGCGGGGTACCCACCTGGCCGTGCCCCCCCAAAAGGGGGGAGACCACCGAAGCCATTCCCTGGCGGCCTCAAGGAGGCCCGAGCTGCGAGCGGCCACGAAACAGGCAGCCACCCTCACGCACCGCAGGGCATCAGGAGTGCCCGAGAGAAGCCTGTAGCCTGCGCCTGAACTCGCCGTGGAGCTCGTCCTCGCGGCTGGGATCCCAGTCCGCGGCCCGCTGCAGCATCTCGATGGACGTCGCCAGCAAACGCTCGACCTCGACCTCGGATGGCCCAGGGCCCGAGCTGGGACCCCCCGCGGCTGCCGCACCGCCTCCATCACCACGAGCGCGAGGGCCTCCACAAGGGGCCGCGTCCGCGAGCGGAAGGGCGCCACGACCCCGACGCCCGCGAGGCCCGCCGCCAGGGGGCCTGCCGCCAGGGCGCGGGGGGGCGCTGGCGGCCGCGGCCGCAGTAGGGCCGTCAGCTCAGGAGCTGTCGACGTCGCCGTCCACCAACATCTCGAGAGCCGCCGCCTCGGCATCTGCAGGCCCGCGCCGCGCGCGCGCGCCGGCGCCGCCGCCTGGGCGCGGGGCCGCCAGCGCCCGGAGCGCCCGCTGCGGCGGCGGCCTGCGCTGCCGAAGGCGCCTCCCCAGGAAGCGGAGCAGCCTCGGCGGGCGGGCGAGGCCGCGCGGCCTCGAGCTCCGCCACCGCCGCGCGGCAGAGGCCCTCGGCGTTGCGCAGCAGGCGGCACGCCGCCGCCGGGCCCCTCGCCAGGCCCGCAGCCGAGTGCGCCGCCAGCGCCGCCCCGCGGGCGGCAGCCAGGGCATTGCGCAGCTGGCGCTGCTGCGTCGCTGTCGGTTCCAGGCACCAGCGGCGAGCCCGCCACGAAACGCTGTACTGGATGGGTGAAAATGCCAAATTGGGCGTGGGGGGCGCATGCGGGCGGTCCCACTGGGGACTTCGGTGGAGCTCCCTATGGGTTCACGAAACGTGTGATGAGGGATGTGCCGAAATGGGTGTGGGTGACGCATGCGGGCGGTGGAGAGGAGGAGGGGGACCAGGAGGAGAAGAGAACAGGAATGCAGGGACCGTCTCTTCAAAACGAGGACCCAACACCACAGGATGGCTGGGAAAAAACATCGCAAGTGATTACATATCCGGTGCCGATTTGTTGAGTTTTTGGGCCGCAGAAGGCCCCCCACTTCGGGGCGGCGGCGTTTGGAGGAAGTATCAAGCGGGAGCCCCGTTTCTGCTTGCAGAAGGCGATGTTGCAAACAGAGCCACCGGGTGCTCTACATCAGCACCGCCTTGTGGGGAGCTTGTCGCAACGCCCAGGGGGCTAAACATGGAGCCGCGAGCGACACCAGACCGGCCCCGACCCTTCGAAGACGATCCACTTACCCTCCAAGGAACCTGGTGCCCTGCCGTGACATGCTGTGCGGTGTTGTTCTGCGCCGCTGTGCAATGCCATGCTTTGCGTTGCAAAGCTTTGTGATGCAATACTTCACTACGCAATGCCACGCCATGCTATGGCATTCTACGCTCTGCCATGCTCTTCTACGCCATGCCATGCCGTGCTCTACGATGCATCGGGAACCCTCTCGCGATCATTGCACTGCTCGACATCCGACTGTGCGAATAGAGAGGAGATCTACGCCATGGCATAGGACGGGAGGGAGGGGTAGGACGTCAGATATGACGCGAGCGCACCTAGCCTGCCCTACCCCCCTCTGCGCGTGGCCGACCATTCCTACCCGCCCGAGATCTGAAAATCGGCCCAAATTTCGCCGGGCACCGCACCGTGCACTTGCCGTGAGTTCGTCCCCTGGCTGCAGCCGCAGGCCGGCGGTCACCAGCGGCGACGGGGGCGACGACGATGACGACGACGAAGCCGACGCCGACGCCGACGCCGCCGACGACGCCGCCGCCGCCGACGACGACGACGACGACGGCGACGACGTCGACGACGTCGACGTCGACGACGACGCCGACGCCGACGCCGACGACGCCGACGACGCCCTTGGGCAGTGGGCGGCGGCGGCGGCGGCGGGCCCACGTTCGCCGACGGCGGGCCGCGGCCGTCTCCTCGGTCTCGCCCCTGCGGGCCCGCTCGGTCGCGAGCGCGTCCGCCGCGGGATGGCGGGCGGAGCCGCCGAGGTCCTCGTGGCACCCCGGGGGAGAGGGAGAAACCTCCCGCAGTCCCCCCTTTCTCCTCTTCCTCCTCCTCCTCCTCCTCCTCCTCCTCCTTTATTCCTCCTCCTATTTCAGTCCTCCTCCTCCTTCATTCCTCCTCCTCCTTCGTTGCTCCCCCTTCTCCTCATCCTCCTCCTCCTTCATTCCTCCTCCTGCTGCATTCCTCCTCCTCCTTCGAGCCTGCTCCTCATTCGAGCCTGCTCCTCCGCCTGGGAGAGGGGGGAGGGGGGGCGGCAAGCTACAGCCTCGGAAAGTGTTTCTCCGAACGCCGCCACGCATGCCCATCCCGATTCATCCACACCCATGCCGCCCGGCATTTTGTAGCGCAATCGTGTTACATGTGGGCCACAATGGGTATTCACGTCACCGTGCCATTACTTCGGCTTGAGAACGCCCACCACGATGTCTCCTAATTATCTTTTCGGTGTCGAAGAAAACGTGACACATCCCACTGTGTGTTGAGACCGCAGGGCGCCCATGACGGATCTTACTCAACTGTGCATACCTTTGCGAATTTGTCGCTTCGCCCAAGCCAAGCCAGGTGAGTTGTGAGGCTGGCTCAAGCGAAACTGGGCCCGAACCAAGCCAAGCAACTCACTCTCTGAGGACCTATCGAGCGAAACTGGGACCAAACCAGGCCAAGCCACGGCCACACCAGGCAAATGTTGAGGATGTCTCAGGCGAAACTGGGTCCAGATCAGGCCAAGCCATGGGCCAAGCCAAGCAAATTTTGACGATGTCTCGGGCGGGGCGCGCGGCCAAACCGGGGGCAAAAAAAACTGTGCAGATCTCGAGGACGTGCCGAGCAGCATCGCCCCAAACAGGGTCCATCCACTCTCCTGAATCAAATTCTATTCGTAGGAGTGGATTACCCAAGGGCCCCCCGCGCATTTTATGGGGGCGGGCATTTGTACCGCGCGCCCGCTGATGTGGCTGTGGTTGGGCGCGGAAGTCTTCATTTGCCTTTCGGGTGTTGCTGGGGTCGTGGTGTGGAGTTCGGAGAGAAACTTCCGAGCCTGTAGGTGCGCTCGCGCCAGATCTGACATCCTAGGCGTGACACCGACATCCCTTCCCATTGCATTGCGCATCTTTTCTTTCTCTGTCGAGAAACGGGTGTCACAGCAGACCCGGAACCCCAAAATGGCCCCATCGTGGCATGCGCGATCAGAGAGGGGAGCTCGACGGGAGGAGGTGGAGGGGGAGGAGGAGGAGGGGGGAGGAGGAGGGGGAGGAGGAGGAGAGGGAGGAGGAGGAGGTGGAGAAGGTGGAGGAGGAGGCGGAGACGGAGGAGGAGAGGAGGAGGAGGAGGAGGAGGAGGAGGAGGAGGGAGATGAGGAGGAGGAGGGGGAGGAGGAGAAGGAGGAGGAGGAGGAGGAGGTGGAGGAGAAGGAGGAGGAGGAGGAGGAGGAGGAGCAGGAGGAGGAGCAGGAGCAGGAGCAGGAGCAGGAGCAAGAGGAGGAGGAGGAGGAGGAGGAGGAGGAGGAGGAGGAGGAGGAGGAGGAGGAGGAGGAGGAGGAGGAGGAGGAGAGGCGTGTGCCCAGCCAGCGATTGGAGCGTGTCCGCCCCCCAGCCCGCGGCCGCGCCCAGGCGAGGCACCCGCCAGCTCCTCAGTGCCGCCATGGCGCACGCCCCATCCGAGCGGCGAGGAACCCGCGCCCCGCTCGCCAGGTTCACCATGAAGAACGGCTGCGAGACCGATATCGGACACCTGCGGCCCAGGCTCCATGCGGCCATCCGCCGCATTTGCTATGCAGCAAGGCGTAAAAGGCCACCATCATGCGCGCCGACATTGCCTTTCTCGCTGCATCATGTCGTCACCACCCTCCTGAAAAAGTATACCAACGAGCGGAGCTACCAGTACACAATCATCGAAGTCGACAAAGTCGTGCACACCGGCGCCGTGGACGCCGTGCGAGCAGAATCGGCCGCAACAGCGACGCCGAGAACGCCTGCCTCCAGCGTGGCCTACCCTTCCAAGGCGTCACTCACGAGTGCGGCCGCTTCAACCTCTGCCAGAGCGCAAAGAGCGTTGAGCCCTGACCGCCGGCCCTGCGCCAGACGTTGACGAGGCGACCGAGGACCAGAGTGCCGACCACGCGGAGGAGCTGCCGCGGGGCTCCAGAGGCGTCGGACAACCCGCTCCCCCGCCCAATGGTCGAGGCATCGAGGGGGGGCCGAGGTCACCGCTGACCGCACCACGGAGGGAGCTCTGAGCATCTCGGCCATCCGGGCCAACTTCAAGTGGTTCGGCGTCACCACCTCCAAGGAGGTCCTGAGCGGGCACGCCAGTCCGCAACGCCTCCCCGGCGGCAGGCCGCAAGGCTGCCGACTGGTCACCTCATCGGCAAGACGCTGCGGGGCCTGGCCTGCCGCGTTTACTGCAGCGGCCCGAGGGAGCAAGGAAGCACCCGAGAGCGCAGTCCCTCTACCGACCTTCCCCTCGCTCCTGGCCTGCTCACTCTGCATTCCGCCCCTGCCGACTTTTCTCGCTAACCTTCTCCTCCTCTTCTCTGGTGGGACAGGCACGTGGGTTGGGGGGACTGGGAGGGGGGAGGAGGAGGCATGCCCGACGCTAAGTGGCTCACCGCTTAGCTCGCAAGACCCCGGCTCCAACGCGAACGCCACCGCCAGCGGGGGTTTTGGCCAAGCCTGCAACTCGCGCCCGCTAGCGAGCCACTCCAGCCACGACAATTTTTGCCACAATTTTTGCTACCGCGTCGCCAAATTGCTCTGATGACGGTGACCTCTCTCCCCTCCCCTTCTTCTCCTTTTCATCCTCTGTCTCCCTCCACCCTGGCTCTGCCGTCTCCTCTGCCGTCTCCCAGGGGTCCCCCTCACCACACTCGCTCACCCGCGCCGCTGCCTGATAAGGATCGGGGTTTGGGGGTTGGGTACGGCATGGTGGGTGGACGTGGGGGGATGGCCGCAACTGTTCAACCGCTCAGCTCGCAGCACCCAACGCCACCGTGAACGCCACCGATTGCGTGGGGTTTCCTGGCCCAAGCCGCACTCGCGCCCGCTGGCCAGACACTCAGCCAGCACAGCTGTTGCCACCGCGTCACCAGGTTGCCGCGACGAGGGTGAGCCTTCCTCCCTCTCCCCCTCTGACGTCTGTTTGCTTGCCGTTCCTCTTCCGCCGTCTCAGTGTGCGAGTTTTTTTCTTTCTCGACAGGGTTCGAGCCAATGGAGATCAGGCATCCAGCTTGCAGGAGGCCGCCAACTGTGCTCCGACGCCGGCACCGGCAAGGGCCCTCCGGCCCATCACTGGCACACAGAGCCTCCTCAGTCTCGCCATCGCTCAGCCGTCCATTCCCTGTGCCTTTTTCGGTTTCGTGCGTGGTTTTTTCGCCAAATGATCAAGGATGCTCCTCGATTGTCCTCGCCGAAGGAAAAAATGCACACGTCCGAGCGATGCCAAGCAGTGTGCGTGGCCTGCCGAGCAGCAGGAGACCCGAGGAGGCAGCACAAGCCTCGGCCGCCCGCGGCCGCAGGCCCGCAGGCCCACGGCCGCACGCCCGCGCCCGCCGGAAGGCGCCCGCCCGCGCCGCTCTGGTCCCGCCGCGCGCGGCCTGCCCAGCAGCAGGAGACCCGAGGAGGCAGCACGGCCTCGACCGCCCGCGGTCGCAGGGCCCACACCTTCGCTCCGCGCGGCAGCTCGCCAGAGCCCCCCGCTCGCGCCGCCGAGGTCCTCGGCATCACCCTGCCTCCCTCCGCGTCCCGCCCTCGGCGCACGCCGGGCAGCAGAGGGCTGGTGCGCGACCCTACGAGGAGTATCAAACACACCGAGGCAGGATGTAGGTTTTGGGGCCGTCCCTAGAGGCCGAAGCCATTTGTCATGTTTGGGGCAGGGCAAACTGTTTGGCTTGCCCAGAAAATCAAGCGTGGCGTTGGCCTCACTTTTTGCCCGTGGGCTGGCCCTCCGGAGATGGGGCCTCGCACGCAGCCTCAACGTTGTCTCTAAGTTTGGGGTGCACCGCCAAAACTTGGGGCCCCTAGCGGGTCCAGGCCGCGCACGGCCGCATGGAGCCTGTCTCACCGCGCGTCGAGCGCGAGGAGGAGGTGGTAGTGGCTGCGGTTTATGGAGGAGGAGGAAGAGGAGGAGGGGGAGGAGGAGGGGGAGGAGGAGGGGGAGGAGGAGGAGGAGGAGGAGGAGGAGGAGGAGGAGGAGCAGGAGGAAGGGGGAGGAGGAGGAGGAGGAGGAGGAGGAGGAGGAGGAGGAGGAGGAGGAGGAGGAGGAGGAGGAGGAGGAGGAGAGGAGGAAGGAGGAGGAGGGGGAGGAGGGGGAGGAGATCGCACGTCGGCAGCGGAGGAGGCCTGGGAGTGCACCGAGATCCTCGACGGGGGCAGGGTTCAGCGCCAGGCCCGCCAACCCAATTCCTCTCACCCAGGCCCGCCAACCCAATTCCTCTCACTTTGCCCTCGCGCACTTTTTTCCTTCGTTCCTTTCTGTTCCCTCCCCCTTTCTGTTCCCTCCCTCTCTACTTCGCAACCTCAGAGCCTCACCCCTTTCTGTTCCCTCCCTCTCCCTGGCCAGTCGCAGGGCCGTCCCCGCCGCTCTGTTGCTCCTCCTCCTCTCCCCTCTCCCCAGAGTGCATGGGGGACGCTGCCCCACCCTCAGGGGTCCTCACCAGGTCGCGCACCCTTGTCTATACATTACTGGTTTGATCACCCCCCGCTTTGGGGGGGGGGATGGCCGCGTTCGGAGAGCTCAGAGGCCGACAGTCACCCGTCACCCGGGAGGATGAGGATGGGGAGGGCCAGGAGCAGGAGGAGGAACAGCAGCAACCGGAGGAGCGAGCGGAGCAGGACCACGCAGGACAGGCAGGGGAGGCGGCAAGGGTGGGGGGGGGGCGACAACGACGAAGATGGGCTCGGGCCGAGAAGTGTGGGACGAGAGTGCCATCCTGAACGATGCGAGCAAAGCATCGGCCCCGAAACGCGACCTGCCCTGCCACTGGAACGTCCAA